GGCAACAGGGGCGCCAAGTGGAATGGTGGCTTTTGTGAGTGGACACCAATCCACGGGACTGAGATCACTGACTCACTTCACACAGGCCCTGAACGGCCATCAGATGTAATGACTTTTGGCAAATACTGACCTGGTCTGGATTTGAAATGGTGACGGGCTTTGTATGCCATTACCAATCCCTGGAGCCATCAGTCCTCCTGGCCAAGCATTTTAATAAATATAAAGAATTACAAAAAATCCACGCAGACACCAAAGCTATTATAACTCCAATTTTGCTGTGGATGGCTAAAGAATGTGAGAGGGCCTAATGCATCAGAATATTGCTGTATGGGCCTAAGGGGATGCAGAGGTTCTCATCCATTTTTCACAGCACTATAGGAATCAGAGACTAAATAAGACCCAGTTACATCATCTTATGCATCTCCCTGTAGGCAAGTTCATTCCCTACAGGACATTTTTCTCATTTCCTCCTCCCTGCAGAGTAGCTGCCATGAGCATTCATGGCCTGATAATGCATTAATTAAGTATGAAGTGAAATGGACAAAGCTACAGTCTTCCCTCCTGCAGCTGGAGAGGAGAGCACAGCAGCTAGGCATGTACTCCTTATGGGTCCCCGCAGAGACCGTGTCAGCATCCACCGCCGTGCTGAGCCACCACTATTCCTGGCAGTTGGGAATTCCAACAGATCCTCTCCTACAGCCCTGGTTTCTGGCATGACACAACACAATGTGATGCCATCAGGCTGCTGGGAATATTTTTTCACTCCATCCTGAACACAAGATATTTCCTGCCAACAATCTGTGCAGCACCATTACTCATTGTCTTGAGACTGTCAAATGTCTTCACTTTGGACACCTGTCAATGCATTCTATTAGACCGGGGTGGGCAAACTTTTTGGCCCGAGGGCCACATCAGACTTGCAAAACTGTGTGGAGGGCCGAGTAGGGAAGGCTGTGCCTCCCCAAACAGCCTGGCCCCTGCTCCCTATTCACCCCCTCCCACTTCCCGCCCCCTCAATGCCCCCCTTAAAACCCCTGACCCATCCAACCCCCCCTGCTCCTTGTTCCCTGACTGCCCCCTCCCGGGACCCCCCACCCCTAACCACCACCCCGTCTCCTAACTGCCCCGACTCCTATCCACATCCCCGCCCCCTGACAGGTCCCCTAGGGCTCCCATGCCTATCCAACCCCCCGTTGCCTGTCCTCTGACCGCCCTCTGCTCCCTGACTGCCCCTGGGGACCCCCTGCTCCCCGCCCCCTTACCATGCCGGAGCCAGCCACACCGCCGTGCTGCACAGCAGGAGTGGAAGGCCAGAGTGCTGGCAGCGCGGCAAGGTGAGGCTGTGGGGAAAGGGGGACAGCAGGGGAGGGGCTGGGGGCTAGCCTCCCCGGCCGGGGGCTCAGGGGCTGGGCAGGATGGTCCCGCGGGCAAAGTTTGCCCACATCTGCATTACACCATAAAAAGAGAAACAAAACTGCTAAAAATATATTTTGGGGCATGGGGCAGATTTACATTCAGCCGGAAGTTGGCATGAACATACAAAGCAAGACAGACAGACAGACAGCCCGCCCCAGTCTATAATAGTAGAAACCTGGTAGTCCAAATGTGACTTTATAGCATGTAACTTGCAGATAACTACTACTTTGCGTGTGGCTTGTTTATAGAAGAGAAGAGGAAAGAGGTCTACAGTGGAAGCACATTAGATGGAGTTTCACAGTGTACACAGCCAGGAGAAACTATCAAGTTGATTCCAAAGCAACTGTGACAAGGGAACCTGTAAAACTGGTACAAATAAAAATATTCACTAACACAACAAGGTACGAATAATAATCCTTTTGTTGGATCTCCCCAAATCATTCATTTATGAGCACTATGCTGACATTTTAGGGAATCCCTAGGCCAGGTGGGTGGATTTCAGAAGCTAATTCCAGGGTCAACCCTGTCTGGACACAGCAAGAGGTTAAGCAATCACTACAGCACGAAGCACATTTGGTGGTGATGCTGCTGCAAAACTAGCTACAGGCCATGAAAAAATAAATGCTTCCAAATCATTATGTCAGTGTATTTTTTTTCTGCACAAGACAATCTTCCTCTGCTTTTTCACAGCAATACACTATTTTAAAATATAATTAGGATTACTTCAATAGAGAAGGCCCCCATATGCTCTGCAGCAACTGCATAAGAAAGATCATTTAGGGAAAGCTGTAGGTTTTGACAGCCAATAGAAAACAGCTGGTGCTTTTGGCAACCAGGAAGGTGTGGGAAGCGGCTGGACCTATAACACTCTGAAGGTGTTTGAGGCTTTTGGCCACAGGGAAGAAATGCACCTCTTCTTTCCCTCTCACTTGTGGGCAGGTTTGGAGGTGACTGCATTTTTGGGGGATGTGACCTTCTTTTCCCCTCTTAGGAACCAGCTATCTCAGTGCCCTCAGTATTCACCATTGTGTCTAACACCCATGGATAATAAGCACAATGGCTGGATGTTTCTCTTAATAGGAGTAGCACTGAGCAATGTCACTATTAGGTTCCAGAGATAAATTTCAAGAGATTTTCCCTCCCAGGTTGTTCACAGACTCAGGAAGTAAGCACTGCTTCAGTTCACTTGCAGCTTTCATTTTGGGGGTTATCTTGGCAAACCTAAGAGCAGAGTATATATTTTAATTGTAAATGAGAGCTGACAGTCTGATACACAGTGCTTATTCATTTATGAGCACTACACTGACATTTTAGGGAACCCTAGGCCAGGTGGGTGGACTTCAGAAGCTAATTCAAGGGTCAACCCTGTCTGGACATAGCAAGAGGTTAAGCAATCACTTATTGCTTAAGCAATGCTTATTCAGGGAGTGGAGTCTTCACAAATTTCACTGATATGGACTCAGGGAGTACAGGAGGCATTGATAATACATCGTCCTGAGATGCAAGTGGGAGCAGGACTGAGAAATCTGCACACCAGCTTTCAGGGCATAAGTCCTCCCCCAAGTCATAACTCAGCTCATAGTGGCTATTGTTGTGCACACACAAACATTGTTACAGTTGCATTAATGATGAAAAGGTTCTTTTGTGGATGCACAGTTACGTAAACCTTATTTAGATCTCTAAGGTCCTATCTACATTGAGATCAAAACCAAGTTAAGTACAATGATATAGATCTTTTTAAACACAGCTGTTGCCAATCAGGGTTTAGCATAGTTTCCCTCAGCTCTGGGGATAGGACTTTTTCTCTGAGAACTCTCTTGAAAATCATCAGACTACATAAGGCAGTTAGCCTATGGCCTGGTTCGGCTGGCACAGCTCTCAGTACAAATTCCTGTCCCCACTAATCATGGAAATCGTGCTGGAGCCCAGCTGGCAGCAACCATCACATGTAACATGTTGTAACTAACTCAGTCCGATTTCCATTATACAAAGAGCGTAAGCTCCTATCTTTAAGAGCAGTTTAATCTGATTATTTTTTCTTTCCCCTCCTACCCAATTGGCTGCACTCACTATCTGTTTGCTAGGCCCTTAACTGGAAATCCATGCTGATTGACTTATGGCGCAGTTGATAAACTGAAGTTTTTCTGTGTTTAGTCAGCAAACCGCACTTCGTGACTCTACTCAATCTCTACTAGTTAAGGCCAGTGGTCCCATCTTGAAACCGGGGAACAAAAGGCAATAAAATTCAAAAGCTACAGCTGGAAAGAAGGCACGCAATGCTGACCCAGCTCTCAGCACCAGGACTGTTTTCCACTGGGCTGAGGCAAAAGGCTCTTGGATAATGATTACTCAATTCACTTACCCAGCCAGGTTTTACCCAATGGAACACACCCTCACAAACAAATTACAATTTTTAACCACAACATTTTTTGTTTACTGTACCAGCCAAGCTAAATATTCAGCAACTGCAACTTTGAAACTAGGAAGCAAATAATATTAGCTGTATTGATTTTACAGTAGTAATGACCTTACATTTATATAATGCCTTTCATCCTCAGGGATCCCTGTGTACATTACATACTTAAAACACTGAAATGAAGTTGTCTCTGGAGTGAAACACAGCAACTGTCTGATAAGCCACACCAACACTATATACAGCTTTTAAGCCAGAAATGCAGATGAATATATTTTTCAAACTAAAGCGGTTAGTGTAATTTTAGGTAGGTAGAATGTAATTATCATAGTAGGAACTGGGAAGTTGGTCTCTTGCAAAAAAGTTCTATGGGATTGATAAAGATCAAATCTTTACAACTGGAGGCTGGTGGAACGTGCATATAAATGACATTTAGGCAACTAAGTAACCATTTTCACTTTAAGTCACCACATACACTGCACAATTACAATCATTACATATGAGAATATATAGTAGGTGTGCAACCTCATATGGACCTCAGCTTAAAAGTCTGGCTATTAACGAAAAAAAGTTGTCAAGATATCAGTTTTGTATCTCATCTGAAAGCCAAAACTTCTCACAGAACAGCAATCTTATCACCACGCCATGGCACTGGTTTGGTACTCACTCAGAGGGTGAATGTTGCTTTTGAAAACTCCCTGCAGCACCTAGGGGTTCTTCAGTGGTCTCCCATCCAACTACTGACCTGGGGCTAAACCTTCTTAGCTGGAGCTCTGTATTCTAATCCTAGCATTACAATAGGTTTCCTGGTGACCTTCAGCAAATCACTTAACCTGTCTCTGCCTCAGGTTCCTCATGGGTAAAATGGGAATAACAGCATTTCCCTACCTCAAAGGTTTTGTGAGGCTAAAATTCATTCACATTTCTGAGAAGTTTAGGGACCATGGAGATGAGCACCAAAGAACAATTTCTAAATTAAAAAAAAAAAACAAGAAAGAACAACAAGCATAAAACAAACTGTAAGAAAACTTTAGTTCTGGTTTTTCCTCATGGGCAAACCTCTGAAGATCCCTACAAAATGTGCCAGATCAAAAGATACAACCCAGAATGAAATCTTACCCTAGGATTGTGGAATAAATAATATCTCCAGGAAGTGGAAGAGGGTGCTTACCGTCTGAGTGCATTTGTTAGTTCTGCAGCCAGTTCACTGTCGTTGTATGGTCTCAGCTCAGCTAGGGTTAATGGTGTTGGGGTCCCATCTGTGCATTCCTGAGAAATAAGCAAGATTGCCTTACTAAGGGGGGGGGGGAACTATGAGCACTTTTAAACTTACGACTGCTTTTAAAACTGAGCTAAAATTAAATCGGTATAAACAACACAAGTGTCATGTAGAAACATCCATGCACCAAGAGATGGGTCAATGCATTATATTCCACAGACTCACCCGATGTTTTACAAACCATCACACAATAATAAATAATTTGCAGAATTCTGCTATAGAGCATACATTCTCTGGTGTCTTATTCCACTTTTGACACCAGGTTTGAAGGGGAAAAAGCACAGTGAGCATGCAGAAATTCAAATGATGTGTAGTCAAAAATACAGAAGGATACTTCTGTAATTTTTTTTTCTGCTGGGTCTTTGTAGGGACAGAGGAACAAAGGGACACAGCAGCATAGGTATGGGATTATAGAATTTCTAGGGTGTCCCTATTTCCTTAGAAAAATTATAAACCTAAAGATAGCAATACACAGATTTTGCTAATTTAAGGGGAAATTATTTTCTCCCCAACCACTGGTACCTACCTGCATTGTGAGGGGGTTTTATAATGAAATCTCCAGTCATTTCCTAGTGAAATGAGACTAATGTATCTCAGTTTATTTCTGGATTTCACAAACCCCATAACTATTGACTTTCAAGGAGATAAAACAGCCAGATGACAATAAAGTTGGCAATAGTAGCTAGTATGCTAGTGCCGAATGATTGTCATCTTCCCAGAATTGATAACTGCATTTTGCTCAAGGGACATGGGCTTAACTTTGCAGTGTCTGCAAAGCGCTTAGAGATCCAGGATGGAAGGTGCCATATAATTAAGGGTCAGATTATGTCATGGAGGTCACAGAATCTGTGACTTCCATAGACCTCTGTGACATTTTCCGCTTCAGCCCAGGGGCAGTAGGGCTGGAGCTGGCAGCCAGCAAGGGCCCTGGAGCTCTCAGCCGCTGGTGGCGGGGGGGACCTCAGAGCTCCAGCTGTGGGCAGCGGTGGGGACTCGGGCACTCTCAGCCACATGGGTGGTGGAGATACTGGATCTCTGAGCAACCACAGGCACCTGGGGGACCTGGGAGCTGCAGCAGCAGTGGGTGCTGGATCCGCGCCCCTCCCCCTTTCCTCCCCCACCCCCGATTTTGTCAGTTATTTTTAGTAAAAGTCATGCATGGGTCATGGACTTCCGTGAATTTTTGTTTATTGCCTGTGACCTGTCTGTGACGTTTACTAAAAATGACCATGACGAAATCTTAACCTTACATATAATACATGACAACTGGAAGAGGGAGAAAGGTGTGTGTGTGTAGATGGAAGGGAGAAAGCAGGGATGATTAACATGCTCAAAACTGGTAACGACAGGGAGACGAAATGTCTTTAGTTATGTTTACTCTGATTCTGGAGACTGGCATTAATTCCTGACCTTGCCCAATTTGTCTTTGCTGCCACTACCGGTGGAGCTGAGGGATCTCATTTTCTGTTCTTTTTGCTCTTCTACTTCAGACTTCAGGTGCTCAATGTGAACTAGGTAGGCCTGTTCTTGGGCCTCTCGAGTGCTAAGTTTCAACTCCAGTGCTTTCTTTTCTTTCTCTAGCAAGTACAGTTGTGCCTTAAGCTCTGCCATCTCCTCCTGTTGGGGACACACAGAAGATCACATCAAGATACCACTTCACAGAACTGTACACAGAAGGGAGACAGTCTTACAGTGAATGAATCACATTTGTGCTGCTTGCCAAGGTGGGGCTTAAATTTGATTTTCAATGAATTTTTAATTTAGGAATCATTCATACGATTCAAATGTATTATCTCAACAAAGAACAATTTACAGACACAGGCAGCAGTAGAGAATTTTCTGGTGTAAATATATTATTGGTATTGAATATAATTATGTATTATATTTATAAGTAAAAATAACCACAGAAATGTTTGAAAAGCTATCCCCTTGAACCATAAGAGATCCTACTCAGAGAGAAGTCTGAACTGGTGTAATATATACTTTTTAGCCACACCATCTTGCACTCAGACTCACAGGACCAAATTCACAGGTGATGTGTAAAGGGGCAAGTGGTATGCTGAAAGCAGGTGTGAAGATGTAAGACAGTCTGTCAGTGTAACTTATCCTAACTGTTGAGAGGTTCGGAAAAAGGTGAACATTACACTAGTTTGTCGCCTCTCTGAATCTGACATACAAAAGAGATACTGATACTTTACAAGGAAGCTTAATTTTAAAAGCTTGTTCCTGCAGATAATTCTCCTGCCAATCAGATGGTTACAATATTGCTGCCAACTTTCTCAGAACAAACCCTTGTTGTACGTATGTTATAACGTCAGTGTGTCCATTCCCCATGCCCACAAATCATATCTGCTCTCATACATCATCTGAACATATCTAGAAGTACAGCAATTCCTTTCTATATGGCTTACTCCAGAAACGTGGCCACAGTTTTTACCTGAAAGCATATTCTGAGGCCAAAAAATCTGGAAGGGATGTCATATTAATCCAAAGAAACTTACTTTCCCAGCATGTAATCCACGGTCAGCGAAGAATATATCAAAACATTCTAGTGCTTATTTAGTTCGATTAACATTTTTGTAGAGGCAGGAGAAGGGCAATACTCCCTCTGACCAAAAGCTCAGTGCTCAGACTGTGAAAGGAGGCAGCGGACATAAGTCTGACAGAAGAGAGCCTTGTATCGTTCAGCAGGGCTGGTCTAACTATAGGCCAGTTAACATCAATTCCAGGACAAATTGTGGGAAGGCTGATTGGGATGCAATCAGTAAAGAATTAAAGAGTGATAGCACAATTAATGCCAATCAACACAGTTATATGAAAATAGATCTTGTCAGACAAACTTGATATTTTTTGATGAGATCACAAGTTTGGTTGATAAAGGCAACTTGCTGACATATTATACTTAGATTTCTGTAAGGCATCTGACTTAGTCCTGCATGACATTTTGATAATTTAGTACAGTGAATTTTTTGTTAATGTAGCCAATATTAAATGGAGTAAAAACTGGTTAACTGACAGACTGCAAAAAGGAACACTGTGAATGGGGAATCATCACCCAACAGGAGTGTTTCTAGTGGGGTCCCACAAGGATCTGTTCTTAGCCTAGTGCCATTCAATATCTTTATCAATCATCTGGAAGAAAATATATAATCATTGCTAAAATTTGTAGGCGACATAAAAATTAGTGGAGTGGTAAATAATGACAGGCAGAGGTCAGTCATATAGGCAGACCTGGAGCACCTAGTATCATTTGAACAATGTGTTTTAATATGGCCAAATGCAAGGTCATATATCTAGGAATAAACAATATAAGTCACATTTATAGGATGGGGAATTGTATCCTGGAAGGCAGTGACAATGAAAAGGACTTAGGAGTCAGAGTGGATACACACCTGAACAGGAGCTCTGAGTGCAATGGTGTAGCTAGGAGCGTGACCACAATTCTCAGATACTTAAAGAGGGCAATATCAAGGAGGAGGAGGAAGGTTGTGTTACCTCTGTATAAAGTATGAATGTGACTATTAACTGGAAAGGTGTCCACATTTCAAAAAGGATGTTGGAAAATTAGAAAGGGATCAGAAAAGAGTTACAAGAATGACTCAAGGTCTGGCCTAATAATGAGAGACTTTAAAAGCTCAGTCTATTTAGTTTATACCAGCAAAGGTTAAGAGGTGACTTGATCATGGTCTGTAAGTACCTACACAAGAAAGAGATTTCTGCTCTCTTTAATCTAGCAGAAAAAGGCATAATGAGATCGAATAGTTGAAAGCTGATGCTAGAAAAATTCAGACTTGTAATAAGGTACAAATTTTTAACAATGAGGGTAATAATTAACCACAGGAACAACTTGCCTAGGGATGTGGTGGATTCTTCCTCACGTGAAATCGTTATATTAAGACTAGATATCTTTCTGAAAAAAATACACTATAGCTCAAACAGAAATAATGGGCTTGATATAGAAATTACAGGATGAGGTTCTTAGGCCTATGTTAAGCAGGAGGTCAGACTAGATGAGCATAATGGTCCTTTCTGGCTTTAAAATCTGTGAATCAATGCCTATTGCTGAGTGAAGAGTGGTGCCCATGGACTCTAAAGAGAGTCCCTCCCACCAATTTTCCTAGATTAGGAAGATGGTGGCTGTGAAGTGGAGCATCATAGGTGTGAGGATAAAGCAGGAGGAAATAGGAGGGGTTGTTTCTCAATGTTGTAGAAAGCTCCCCCAAAAAAATTATTCTCAGTGGAAGGAGAGGGAGGAAATCAAATGCAGAACTGAGGACATTGATATGTATGTTTAGGACTTGCCTACACACAGAAGTTGCACTGGTTTAATCTAAATTGGTTTTGTTAAACTGATGCAACATTGTGGACAGCCTTACAATGGTGTATGCCTGGTTATATTGGTTTAACCTGGTTACAAGCCCAGGCTAAACCGATATAAGAAGATCCACACAATGTTGTACCAGTTTAACTAAATTGGTATAAAATCAAATATTAGGGCATGGCTACACTTACAGATGTAGAGCCCTGGGAGTTAAACCAGCCTTCGGAGACCGCAGCAGGGAAAACGCTGCCGTGTGTTTGCACTGTCAGCTGCAAACACACTGGCGTGGCCACATTAGCAGCTCTTGCAACGCCACAAAGAGCAGTTCATTGTGGTAGCTATCCCAGCGTGCAAGTGGTTGCAAAGTGCTTTTCAAATGTAGGGGGTGGGGTGGAGGGTGTTGTGTGTATGTGGAGGGAGAGAGAGTGGGTTTTTGGGGGGCTGAGAGTGTGTCAGCATGCTGTCTTGTAAGTTCAGACAGCAGCAGGCCCCCCTCCCCCTCGCCTTTCTCTCACACACTCACAACAAGCAGCATTCCACAGTAATGGCTTGCTTTGTTCCAGGGCAGATAAGCATGCTGGCTGTCGGAAACGGAGCTTTGAAAGGGCCTATCCGCATTCCTGCAGCTGATTCCAAAACAATGAGAAGAGAGGCCACTTGACTTAAGGGGATTATGGGACGTTTCTGGAGGCTGATCACAGCGCTGGGACATTTCTGGAGGCTGATCACAGCGCAGTAATGCAACACCGCGTTCACACTGACGCCCAGGCGTTTCAGCCAGAGCGGAGCAAGCTCTGTGCTTCTTGTGGAGGTGGATTACCAGGTTTGCTCCAGCTGCAGAGTCCAGGCACTCTACGTGCCTTGCCAGTGTGGACACATTGGGAGTCAGAGCACCCGGGGCTGCTTTAATGTGCTCTAACTAGCAAGTGTAGCCTAGCCCTTCGTTATATCGGTACAACTGTGTATGTAGATCAGGTCTCAGAGGTCACAGTTTAGTCCTAACTAGCTCCACCACTGAAAATCTCCATGCTCCTATATCCTCTACTCCCACCCCAACTCTTCGTTGCAGCACAGTGTCAAGACATTGCTCTGAACTGGTGACCACTTGAGTGCCTTAAGGATGATAGTTTTTAACAGGCCCTTCTTCTTTCCTGAGGCAATATGAAAAGGAGGTGGCTTTGTTCTGCCTCAGTACACAAAGCTTTGAGTGTTTTCTCAGAGTGGTACATGCACAAGCGTGTGAGCGAGGTAATGAAACATTACGTTAGCAATGCAGTCTCATGCTTTTGGTCTCCCTCGAGCACCTCTGCTGTCATATCTCCCTATTGCAAGCATGTGGCTTCTTGATTGCTGTGTCGTAAGTTTAGAACCATGGATCGAAGTCCTTGATTAACGCACGCAGACTTGGTTATTGCTAAAGCCCTCTCTCACTACCTGGGATTGTTGAATGTGACCTCCAACCCAGCTAGATGCCACCCCAAGTGTCATGATCAACACTCCAGGTCTGTGATTCTACCAAACACTCTTTCAGAGAGAAAGGGGACTAGGCATGCTACGCCCTTACAGTGAGGGTAGGGAGTATGCCATGGGCTCCACGTATAATGCAATTACACTGGTGTGTAAATAACAGCAGAACTGTCCATCAATCATTGTTAAGTTGCTGTACAGCTAATTATGCTCCAGAATCAAAGAGTTCTTTAAAAGAGGAAAAATAGTAAGTGTCTTCCTAGATCTAGGCTGCATCAAAATATGAAGAGGTGCAGTGGTGGCTGCCTGAGTCTGCAGGCATGCTGATACTACAGCTCTGACCGGGGAGTGAACTGTTCCCATTCATGGCCAAGGCGTGTTAACAGGAAAGTCTGATGACAATTTAAAATGTCAACTTTAACTATTTCACTGCTGATCTTTTAGCAGAAACGTCAAGTGAATATGCCTGCTTGTTGCTCTTGGATATAGTACCAGATATTAGGCAGAGTGCAGTGAGACAGTTAGTCACTATCAAGAGTGGCTTGAGGAGTTGGGTGGAAAAGGGGGAATGAGAAATTCTCAACCGTCTCCCGGGTGCAAAACACCCCACTGTCACATAACCTCCCCACTGCCAACTTTCACAATGCCATTATGTGCTGCAATTCAAATACCTGCAGCAGAGGAAAATATGGGGGCAGCACAACAATTTAATACAAAAATAAACAAGCACAGAGGATGCTATACTGATTGCATTGGATGTGGTGGGGGCAAGCAATGGGGTTACAGTGTTGTGTAATACTAGGGTCCCTATTGAATAGTTTAAGTCTAATGGACTGCACAGGATACAGGGCTGCGGGTATGCTACAACCTTTCAGATATAGCACAGGGCACGCAACAGGGTTAGGCTGTACATTAACAGGATAGAGAGCGGTAAGTTGTGCACACCCTTGCTATTGTCACAGTGTCCTTTGGAATGTGCAGGTTTCATAGTGGTCCTGAGCATCACTGTTAGTTACCTCTCTGTAACACCACAAAGCAATCAGAAGAAAGGGCAATTCAGGGGCAAAGACAGTATGTCATAAAATACCTTCATTGCCATGAGTTCCTGCATCAATACTGCATTTTCCAGATCTAGCCTCTGGTTATCTCCACGAGGTTTGACATCATAACTAAGGGGATCAATATGGATGCTCTCCAGCTCCAACATGGTCAGCTTGACTGCTGCCCTGTCATTCTTCAGCTGCTGGATGTAATCCTTCAACCTCTGCTCATCCTCCTTTGTGAACTCCGTATCACAGCTACTTGCAGTTGAGCTGGTAGTGCTTGGAAGACCAAAAACAGCATCACTCATTTGCAGAAGGATTCAGGTCTCTAGCCTCTCCCCCCACCTCCTCCCCCAGCCCTCATTTGAAATTTGTTTAATCAACACCACACACGTGATTCACCCATTCACATTTACACTCACAGTTGCCACAGAGTATAATTTTATCAGGATCATCATCAAACGTACACAGTCTACTGAAGACCGTTGCGCCGCCTGAATTACCATGATTAAGGTTAAGATTTTGTCATGGTTATTTTTAGTAGAAGTCATGGACAGGTCATGGGCAATAAAAAACAAACAAACGGAACCTCCCCCCCAAAAATGGGCTTCCATGAATTTTTGTTTATTGCCCATGACCTGTACATGACTTTTACTAAAAATAACCCTGACAAAATGGGACTGATGGAGGGATGAGAACCCAAGCCTGGCTGTGGTAGGGTAGGAGGGCATCCAGCACCCACCACTGTTGTGACTGAAAGCTCTGGGGTCTCCTCCAAAGCCTGCGGTGGCTCGGAGTTCAAGGACCCCCCCTCCTGCCCCGGGTCTGAAGCAGAAAATGTCACAGAGGTCTCTGGAAGTCATGGAATCCATGACTTCTATGACATAATCTTAGCCTTAACCATGGTTGATGGCATTGGTATAAATGAAGTTACCATATCTGGCTCAATCCTATGAATCCATGAATGGCTTTGCAGGGGGTGCCAGGCAGGGTTGGGGCATGCACCCCCTTGCATGCTGATGAAGAGCTTGAGAGCACGGTGTGCTGGTGTGTTTTTGTCCCTCCGGAGACATGGCCAAAGACCATACCATGCTTTTGAATATAATGAGCAACTGAAGGAAGGCAAGAATGGCTATCAGGATCCAGTGTGTATTAATATTGTTATATAACTAGTGTAGTACTACGGAAAATATTAACTTGGGAGTACATATCAAACATCGATTTTTTCACTTGAGCCTGGACCAAGTGTTGCAATATGAAAAAGAAACACACACACACCCCTCTGCAACTTTAAAATACAGAAAAGAAAAAATATATAGTTCTTCAAACAGAATAAAAAATGTCATCACAATACTGAGTCAATTATTTCTTCACTGCAAAGCCAGATAATTAGTTTTGCTGGCATAACTTGCTTTTGACACTAAACTTTTTTTTTTTTAATCAAGAAACAATTAAGTGCTTGTTAAATATGCCATGCTGAGAGCAATAACAACTAAAATCCTTTATCTATAGAAAACTTCTGCATGCTGCCTCACACCTTGAATAGGAATAACAATCTCTGTGTTTGAAAAGTTAGTTCAGATTCCATGCCCCGTCTGCTGATGCCAGTGCCAATTATTACGGTGATTTTTTGATGGACACCTGTAAGAAACAGCCTGAGGTTGCTTCAGAAAGTCCAGCTGCTGTCATGGTGCTGTCTTTTAATCACTATTAACCTGGGGCTGGATTTGAAATAGTGACCAGCTATTCCAGTGCTAACTTCCACAAGACATCCAAATCCCTCAACTTGGAGGTATCTTGTCATGTTTTACAGGACTTCTAATAGAACATCATCATCTGACTTTATTGTCGCATTCCTTTTCCAAAGGTAGTTTCAAAAGAAAAACTGCCACACAATTTTAGCTCACTCCATACATGTCACATAATGAAGAGCTTTTACCCAGGGAAAACAATTTCTAGATAAGCACGAGGAGCCTCAATGCCCCATCTCTATCTATGTGCATTCCAGTGTTCTAGGGAGAAGAGATTTATGGAGGTTAATTGCAATGCTGCTTTAGTTCCTTAACATTCCACTGCTGAATATACTTGCAAAAACACTAAAAGGAAAAGAAACAGCACTGCAATTTCTACAACCTTACACAGACAAAGCTGCCTGCTGTCTCCTGAGGACCTGTAATCAGCTGCTGGGTGAGGGTTAAGTCATCCATTAACTGTGCCTGTCTGGAATGCTGGATGATCTCAGTTATCAGCAGGGGAATAAATCACATTCTGTATTGGGTTGCATTATTTTTCAGCATTTTTTTGAGGAGGAAAAAAAACCCACCCTGTCTGTGGACTCCTGCTGGAGCCAGGCTAACGTGTAATGGAAATACACTTTGCTTACATACTTATGCACTGCAGAAAGAAAGGGGGGGAGGGGGAACAGGTTGGTTTTCTCTCCTTCCTCTCAATTGTACTTGTGCTCAAGCAGTGTTGATTTTAAGTTGCATCAGATAATTGCCAGTGGATCTTTCAGAGAATTCCAACCCCAGGGCAGCCTGAGAGGAAACAGAGAATTGGCAGGGCTACAAAGACTTCCTTAAGTCTTCCCCCCTCATGAAATATCACATTACATGGCTTTACTACAGCTTTCTGCTAATTTCAAATGATTTCTTCTCTCTCTTAGGGATAACAGGCGCCGTGTTTACTAGAAGCGAAAACCACTTTTCCTCCCACTAATTCCCATCTGCAGTAAATCAGAACCCAGCTAGCCTATCATGGGTAAAAATACATTGAGGTTTTAATGAGTTCTCCATAATACTTTGCTTTTCATCGGAGGATCTCAAAGCTCTTTATAAACCTTATTTAACTAGGCCTCACTAGGCCCTCGGTGAGGTAGATATGATGTGAAAATCAGGCAATACAATAAATTACTATTCAATTCTATATCAAGTGGTGTTGCAGATCTCTTCACGTTCCAAAATAAAAAGTTCTCCAGCCTTCCTGGACTACACACACTCAGAGACTAATACTCAGGGACAGTATTTAGGGTCTACATAGCCTGCACATTCTCAGAGTTTAAGTCAAAGTTAACCTTAGCTTTCGTTTACAGAGAAAATACGCTCCTTGCCCTCTTTGCTGGAAAGACAGCTCTCAGAATGAAAACTGAGCACGGCCTCTACATCTGCTATGAGGACTATTCCTAAAGCTCCCCAGGTATTCACAGTACCAGCCACAGCTGCACAGGACTGACCTTTCAGGTCCACAGCTGCAGGTCTCCATTTTTTGGAGACCAATCCACAGCTGTGGAAGGTAACGGCAACTTGGGTTATTAGCTCAGTCCTGGCTGACTGCCTGCAGCTGAGCTAGCTCCTCTGCTGAAGTGCTAGTGAGGCCTCTGGTTACAAGGTGAGGAATTAATGGAGGAGCTGCCAGTACAAAGAGGACAGAAGAAAAGGAGAACTGCCCCTTGTCCCCTAACTTTGGTGCCAGAATCCCCCCACCCAGCGTGAGAGAAGAGAGGAGGTAATATGGCCAGCAGAGGAAAAGGGTACATAGCCTATTCCCCTATTCGAGAGGCAGACACAGCCCCGCAATCCCCACCCCCATTTCCTGAATTGTGGAGAAGTAGTCCTGTGTGCAGGGCTGCATGACTAAGCACTGAAACAATGCCATGATGCATATGTGATCCTGGGTTGTGATGCCACATGGAGCTCCTTCAAACTCACTTTGATGGCTCTCCCCAAAATCCTCAGGCCAGCCCTGCTGCATCTGTGGGGGAAACACCCCTGGCTAGATACCGTGTAGTGCTGAATTTGGCAGACTGATATGCTTTCTGATGGCAATCAGGGTAACGCAAATGAGGTTAGGGGATGAACTGAACAGGCAGCATGTCACAACCAGAAAAAAAACCAAAAACAGATGCATGATGTGTCTCTTATTTCTCTAGCATGCACGTAGGAAAAAATTATACAGCTCTATCAAACGTCTTGGAAAAATGATTTCCTTCTGCACATTCCCCTCACCGTGTTCATAAAGAGCTGAAAGAAACATTCTACCCGCTCGGTTCATCATTGACATCTGCAAGATTCCTAAATGATGCTCAATTAATTTGTATATATATTTTCTATACAGTGGATCCTAGATAGCATGGTGTAACATTAAGAGGTATCCTACACTCACGGGTACAAATACACATATACTACATGTGCATATACATAAACACACTGCAATTATAAAATATTTCTCCGTTTACTGATGCTGTTGAGTACAACCTCTCTTTTCATTCAAGAAACCTTGTCTGGGTGAAAAGGATACAGCATCCCTTATACAGTATGAATTTCTATCTGTAATAACTGTGGGTTAAGGGTTTATAGAATTACAATTACGTGGAATGTCCCAAATCCATGTAACATTCTTGAATGGTAGTGTCTGCATTTGAACTTTTACTTTAAGGAATATTTGTTAGGTCACGTACATCTGTCCACCCATCTTCCAGGTCAGAGTGGCTCCACATCAGAGCAAGCACACAACCGTATGGCAGGGATAACCTTTCAGATTAAGAGTAGCAGCCGTGTTAGTCTGTATTCACGAAAAGAAAAGGAGTACTTGTGGCACCTTAGAGACTTCATCGGATGAAGTGAGCTGTAGCTCACGAAAGCTCATGCTCAAATAAATTGGTTAGTCTCTAAGGTGCCACAAGTACTCCCTTTGAGATTAACTGGCCTTCACTCAGACCAGCAGAATTTGAATTAACAGTATATTGGGCTATTATCTCAATACTTTGGCAAACCACCTCCCTCCTTTGGAAACCTATTTGCTCCAGTGATGAAGTCTGGTACTGAGAGCATACCACATGCTTTGGTATTTGGAAGCATTAACACGTTTCCATATCAACACTTCCACATTGCGGCCAACATAATCCTTTATTTCAGCTACTTATCCGAAATCCCTGGGGTAGTTCTGAGAGGAGGATTTAGCTGTAGGTTTGGGTAAGTTCAGATGGTTAGTGGTAAAACATGTTGTAGAAATGTATTTCCTTTGCATGTGATGGGACGGACTGTCCCTCCTGCATCTCGGTGGAAGGCCGGGGTTACTAGTAGTGTAATGAATACAAAACAGCATCCTTAGTCATTGTAACAGCAGCAATCTCCATCTCTCTCTCTCCTTTCATTCTTTTTACAGGTGCTATCAGTTGGATCTTCTTGGAGATGAATGCTCCTCTGTCCATTAAAACAATTAGGACTTCCACAAAGCTATTTTTATTTTCAAAAATGAATTGGCAATATAGTTGGGTTGCT